TGGCTAAAAGTCAAAATGTCCTTGGGCCTGTTAGCAACATACTCTGTTCCAAAGGCCAAAAATGTCAAAAGTATTTGGTAGCTAGTATTTAATCCTTAAAAGATTTTAAGGTTACCTCTTCAGAGGGGGGAATGCTGGAGGGGAGGGAGTGGATATGGATTTGATCAAAACACCTTACATACATGTATGAAATTCTCAATAAAGTTTTTGTAAAAGTTAAAAAAAAAGAAATCTAGGAACTATAGTAGGTGAAAGGTCATGTATCCAGATAGTTCTACACGCTGAGGTATGAGTGCAAAAGGGAAAGAGACTGAGATACTTCTCAAATTATTTTTATTAAAAAATCCAGACATGTTATTCAATAGCTTGTCATCTCAAAATTAATAAAAGTTTGACATTTGAGAAAATTATTTTTTCTCTCTGCCTGTCCCTCAGCAATTTACAAAAGTATATGTGATAGTGTAATATAGGTTTTTAAATTTTAATTTATTTGGGGGGCTGGGCACGGTGGTGCATGCTTTTAATCCCAGCACTCAGGAGGCAGAGGCAGGCTGACTAAGGTCAGCCTGATCTACATAGTGAGTTCCAGGCCGGCTGGGGTTGCTGGGAGACCCTGTCTCAAAAACTGAAGAAAAATATTTATTTTTAAGGGGTTGTACTGCTTTTGCAGACTTGAGTTCAGTGACTCACATCCAGTAACTCACAACCACCTGTAACTCTAGCTCTGGAGAAATTTGATGCCTCTGGCTTCTGAGGGCACTGACACATGTGTATATACCCACACCCAGATGCACATACACATAATTAAAAATGATAAAAATAATCTTGAGACTATTTTAACTTGGCAACAAATTATTAGGTTTCATTATGGGATTTTCAAACAAAAATTGTCCTTATTGATTATCCCACCCCCTCATCCCCTGCCCCTTTTGCGCCCTGCCACCCCCAGTAGCCTACTAACTTTCATGTTAAATATATCCTATTGCCCTCCCCCCACTTCCTCAACATCTTCCCCCTCTCTTGGTCCCCTTCCTAGTTCATATATACCTATACTACTGCCCACATATAGACATAAATGGTATAAAATTGTTTTATATCAGAAAAAAACCTGCTGTCATCACTGTAAAAACGGAAAGCAAAAGCAAAACACAACTGAATCAGCATGAATTGTGGAGAAGGGATTTGGAAACTCTGTCTTCCAGATCATAAAGCGAATGCAGGTAGTGTGCTCTTTGTGTTTGTTAACTGCAATTTACTTGTTTATTTGTTCTCCATTGCTGCGAATCAGATTACTTGAAACACAGCATCTGAAAATAACACCTCAGTGATATGAGTTCAGCTGTCAGGCACCTAGGAACAGCATGGCTGTGAGCCTGGATCATGGTCTTGTGGACCAGAATCAGGCTGTGGCCAAGATCTACAGCACTTTCATGTACCTGAATGGTGTGTGGCTATTGGCAGGCGACAGAAGGGGGTCCAGTGCCATATTGGGTCACACGGGGGCTCTCCACACAGGGCTGCCTAGAAACACAGAAACTGACGCAGGAACCACACAGAAGCCACAGGAATGACCACCCTGTGGGTACCATTCATTAGAAAGGACTCCTGAAATCCAGCCCACTTTAAGGGGAAGGGTTATACTAGGACAAGCATTCCAGGAGTGATTGTGGGTCCATCTTAGAGGCTGCTTACTAGGGTTTGTCCACTTGAGATGTGAATTTTAAAAATAGATGCATATTCTCATGGTTAGAAGTTGAGAATGTTCAAGAGGGAACGAGGCAAGAAGTCTGTCCTGTCAGATGGTCCCCTCATCAAACACATCGTTGTTATTTTCCTTTGTGTCCTTTTGGGGTCATTGTCAGACACGAAGTTGGAAGAAAAGGACTCCAAGAAGGAGCAGGCAGAGTCACCTGAATCCTCATCTCCCTCTTAGCAGTTCTAACCTGCTGTGCGCAGAGAACTCTTTCCTGTCTCTCTGGTAAAATCTGCTGTGAGGACTACCTTTTCATCTCCCCAACAGATAATGAGTCTTCTAGTCATTTTCATACAGTTCCATTTCAGGCATGACATACCCAGTCCTGAGTAATATGCAGTCAGAACTTTACCCTAGTGGGGTCTGCTCACTGTCATGAGGAAAAAGTGGCTTGTGGTTGGGTTCTTCTGTGTGCCTCTCTCCTCTCTTCTGCCTCCTCAGATGAGAAGCTGTGTGTCCAACAGGGTTGGAAGACAGGAAGAGGGTGAAGAGAAGCCGCTCTTTGTTTAGTTTCAGCTTTTAGTTTCTTCAGAGAGTTCTTCAGGGAAGCATCTCACTGTAGCTTTCTTGAGGTATAAACTCTTTTTCCTCCTTAGCAATTTCTTCCAAGGACAATTCTCCAGCTCCTTGGTGCTTTGGTCACTTCAGTCTTCACAGGAAGCCTGTGGGGGAAGGACTCCGCCAGGACAGCTTTGGGAGTACTGGCTCTCCTCTCTTCCTCATCCTCCACCCGATCCCTGGAATTATCTGGAAAACTGGGGATGATTTATTTCTTCTCAATAATTTTTAGTTTCTCATACTGTCTTGCTCAATTCTTTGAGGAATCATATCCTGGGAACAAGGAACATTCAACACACCACTCCAGGAATTAATATCCAAAAGAGGGGACGTAGCTGCCGGGTGATCAAATGCTTGCCTTGTATGGGCAGGAAGTGAAGGCATTTTCTTGCAGAACATACTTCCCACATGCTGAGATACCTTTGAAGACAAATTAATTACAGTAATTAAGTGTGTGAATTCTTTTAATAACCCTGCATTAACACAGGGTCAAGGAGACTAAGGTAATTTCAGACATGGCACTTCTAGGGGGTCACAATTCTAGCATGTAGTGGGCCTTTCCTGTCACGTGGTGTTTGCAGCTGTGAAGCTGGATATCACGTGGCTCTGACTTCCCATTTCTCTTCCTGGTTCTTCTCTGGTCCGTCTTCTCCCATGGAGATTTCACTCTAGGTCTACCTACCTCACCCTTCCCCAGTGGTCTCACAAGTATTCCCATAGACACTCTCCCACACCCCTACCAACAGCCAACCAGCCTTTCTTCTGGCTGAGACTAGAATTCTTCAAGCAACTTCAGCACATGATTGGTCACCAGTGAGACAAGACAAGACTGCTCTAGGACTTGGTGCTTTGATGCTGACCACTGGACAGCTACAGTAGATTTCCACTGCCCTTGCTTCAATAACCTCGGTTCTAGGAGGAACCCAAGCCCTGTCATCACAACTCAAATCTAAAGCTGCCTGTGTTCTGATGATATATATATATTCATATAT